CCCCAAAACCCCAAAACCCCAAAACCCCAAAACCCCAAAACCCCAAAACCCCTATTTTTTAATTTAAAATTGAATTTCGATAAAAGTAGTTAATGGTCTGAATAGTTTAATCAAAAATCATGAGGATTAGCTCTTTAAAACTCTTAGAAAATAGTACAGCATTGCCTATTTTCAGGTAAATTAGCCTCCCTTTGAGTCGCATTTTTATCGTTATCAACAACCTTTTTCTTTTTGAGAGCTCCAGCTTTTTTAGTTGCATTTTCAAAATTTTCAGTATCGGGAGTACTTTTTGGATCGATTGTAGTATTCTTAACAGGCTGAATTTCTTTTGCTGGCTTTGGGTTATCCTTGACCTCTTCCAAAATATTTAATTCAACTAAGCCTGCAGCTTTCTTGTTTACAATTTTCTTTTCTGGAATTTCTATATGTTTCATTTCTTTCGATTCTGCAGTCTGTTGCTTATTCTTGTTCTCATCTGTTTCTTGATTTACCTCATTTTTCTCTTTCGCAGAACTTGAAGAATGGTTTGCTGAATTATGGGGATTAGATATATTATCGTTCACTACTTGCTCATCATTATTTACTTGAGCATTAACTCCATCCACAACTTCTATTTGTTGCTGTACTCCAATATTTTGAGAAACTAAATTTTGGGTGTCTATCTTTTGTTTTTCCTGCTCAGACTCAATGTTTGATTGAGGTTCAGAATGTGCGATTTCTTGAGCTTCAACTTCTTGGGTTTCTACTTCTTGTTCTTCATTTGATGTAGCTTTTGGTTGTGTATTTTCTATAGTTTCTGACTCATTTGTTTTAATATCTTTATCAAGATTTTCTTTATGCTCATCCTCTACGACATCGGTTGCAGCAAAAATTGTAGTTGCAGTATTTTCTGAAGATTTATCTTCAACCTTTTCTTTTTGCTCTTCATTGTCTTGATTATTTGTTTGGAGTGCATTTTCTGTATTCTGAATCTCATTTTGATTGTCTTCCTCATTTTCTTTACCCTCTTCTTCCTCAAATTGTTGATCTTCTTTTGCATCATTTTTATTATCTATTTCTTTATCGTCCTCAATAGTTTGCTGATGAACTTCAACTTCTTCTCTTTCTACATCATTTACTTCTTCGACTTCATCGGATTTATCTTGATTTAATTCGTTTGACTCATGAGGAGTATTTTCATCTACTTTATCAGTCTGTCCCACATTCTGAACATTTTGTGTTTCTGTAACTACTTCTTCAATTTTATGCTGGTTTGTAAGCTCTACTGATTCTGCTTCAATTTGTCTCTCTTCCTTTGCTTCTTCTGGTTCCTCATTTGCTTTATTTTCTTCATGTGTAAGTTGAGTGCCCTCAGCTTTAATCTCCTCAGAATCTTCAACTTTGTCATTTTGCTGCTCAAAATGCTGGATTTCATCTTCAACTTTTGCGACTTCTATTTCTTGGTTATTTTCTTGTGTGTTTTCTCCCTCTTCTTGACCCTCAACTTTTTCAATATCTTCTGGAGTATCATCTTTATTTTCTACTTCCTCTTCTCGTTGTTCAGTATTATCCTGCTCCTTTTTATCTTCTTGCTCTTTATTTTCTTCAGTATTTTCTTGGTGATCAATATTTTGCTTATCTTTATCTTGAAGAGTCTCATTATTATCTTTTTGTTGTGAATCCTCTCCTTCTTCTTTATGCTCTGGCTCCTCTATTTCTTCAGCTTTTTCTAATTCTTCTCCTTCATTGTTTTGCTCTCCATCTTCTGGTTGAACATCTTGATCAGTATTTTCATTTTCTTTTGCTATTTCTTCTTGGCTTTCTGCAACTTCTTCATCTTCTTTTGCTTGTTCATTTTTATCTTCCTCACCTACTTTATCATCATTTGCGTTATCAATTTCTTTTGATTCAGTAGTTTCTTGAGGCTCTGTGGCTAATTCAGTTTCTTTATTATCTTCTTTTTCTTTACTCTCATCGTCAGATTTTTCTAAATTTTCGTCATTTGTTTCATCTTCTTGTGCAGACTCTTGATCAGCGTCTGGTTCTTCGTCTTCACGCTTATCTGATTCCTCTGCCTCAGGCGAGCCCTCTTCCTTCTCTTCTTCATGGTTGTCCTCGGCCTCAACGTCTGCCTCTGCTTCTGGCTCCTGCTCATCTTCTTTGTCTTCAGCAGCATCTGGCTGAGGAGCCTCCGAAGCGAGATTCTGGTCTTGCCCCTCATCAGCTTGCACTGCTTCTGCAGATTCTTCAAGCTCTTGAGCCTCTTGCTTGTGCTCTTCGGAATCTTCGCCCTTGTGCTCTTCTGCTTCTTCAGTCTGCTCTTCGGCCGGCTCGGTCTGTTGCAGCTGGTCATCTTCAGGCAGAGTCTGCTCTCCGAGGCCTTCTGCACCATCAGCTTGTTCGTCATGGTCATCACCCTCAGCTTCTTCGTCATCAGCACCTTCGGCTTTTTTGGCGTCTTCGGGCTCTCCATCCTGCTCGAGATCTTGTTCAGAGTCTTCTGCTTGCACATTTTGCTGAGGCTGCTCGTCTTCTTGCTGGTCGGCTTGCTTGCTGTCTTCTTGAGGATCAGTGTTTTCGCCATTGTCACTGTTTGCATCTGGAGTCTGATGAGGGACACTTTCGCTTTCGAGGCCATCTGGAGCTTCTTGGTGTTCGTCCGCATCACTTTGAGTGGGCTGAGCTTCTTGGACTTGTTGTTGGTCGTTTTGTTGATCAGCTTTGGCTTCTTCTTTAACTATGGGTTAGTTTGGGTAGTATACCTTCTTCATTCTCAACTTTCTTGACTTCTTCGTCGTCTTGATTTTCCTGATGCTCATCTTGTTCATCCTTTCCTTCACCCTCTGTTTGATCAATTTGCTTATCCTGTTCTTTATTTTCTCCTTCACCTTCTGCTTCATCCTCTTTTTCAGATCCCTCTTTACTTTCTTTATCAGACTGGGATCCATCTTTATTTAATTCCTCTTGTTTTTCTTTTTCTTGCTTTAATTCTTCATTGGAATTTTCTTTTGTTTCTTGATTCAAGGTATCATCTCCTTCGCCTTCACCTTCAATCTCTGTGCTCTGGGTAATAGGTATATCATCAAACTTCTTGTTCAAATCAGACATAGTGTTATTCATTCTAACAAAGATTTATTGAATTAGTCAATATTCTTTAGCTCTATAGGGGTTTTGGGGTTTTGGGGTTTTGGGGTTTTGGGG